ACGGTTCGGCGGCAGCGTCAAACAGCTACCTGCCTGTGAGGTGGACGCGTGTCAGCGTTCTTTGGAGCTGCTGGTACGGTTCGAGGTGAGATGGCGGAAGCGTCTGAGGAAACCTTTGTGACCTACGGGGACTTGGGCCCCTCGTCGGCACCTGGGCCTTCTCAGAACCTCCGATTTGATGGGGCTCAGGGGAGGCGGAACTTCGTGGCTCCCCCCCCCGGTCGGACCGAGGCATACGATCTAGGTCGGTTCGGGGAGGGTACCCAGATGTTCTTCATGTTTGTTGGATGTTGTTGTGCAACCTGGGGGAGGATACCCTTGAATGTTGTTCAGGTTGGCCGGAGGAGGGCCTCATTGTCTTGAAGGCTGTTATTATGTCCAAGTTAGGTCAGGCCGTCTCTGCTGCCAATGTGCAATTATTTACGTGCACTGTGGTCGTTTTGGCGCTCTTTTGCATGCGCGCTACGTACTCATATGATTTAAAGACGCGCTCTAAGCGTGCATGAACATGTACTGGTCGTACGTCTGAGCAGGAACGTGCTACGCGACAAACGAAGACTAAGGCGCGCAGTGCTGTACCTCACCGTCTCAGACGCTCTCAGACCTGTGAGCACAAAGAAGCACCCTCGTCAATGGTCGTGTGGTTTGTTTCATGAATGGGACCCAATCGATTTTCCACAGCAGAAGAGGTACAGTGTGACATGTTCAACCGCTTATGGCATTCTGCGCCCCATCCTTGTCAACATCTCGCGTGCGCGTACACTTTCTGCAGCAGCTTGCTGTCGTAACCCGCTGAGGATCACCCGTTCGTAGCCATTCGCCTGCGTTCTCACAGCTGCTGCCGCTCTCGAAGCTGTGCCTGCAGTGGCCTCTCCATTGCCGATGTTGGTGCTGACCCTCGAACTTCTTTGTCTCGAGGAGTCTGAGCGCCAGGTTTACTGTTTGTCGAACTGTTTGTACACTGATGCCGTCTTGCTTGATGAGTGACTCCTATTTCCGGTCCCTGACCTTGTTGATCGCCGTAATGAGCTCCATGTCTTGAAAGGGACTGACCGCCAGTGCTCTATACATGATCTGGAGCTTAGACTTCTTCTCGTGGCCGCGCTCTGCGTACGCCTGCTTGACCCTAGCGCTGGGTACACCCCCCCCCTAATGTAGACAGCCCACCTCACGTAGCCTGGACCTCGGTGACACCGAGCCCGGTCCGCGCGGAATGGGCGCGACACATGCGTTCTGGCGACGCGCGTGCCTCGGAACGATGCTCCGGCTTGTGCGTGGGCAACATCTCTGACTAGAAGTGTCCCCACACCTGCAGGCGCGACATCGAGCGTGGGTTGGTATGAAGGGCTCTCGAGGTTGCTTACACTAGTCCAGAAACACTGACGAGAGCCCAAAGCCCAAAGCGCGACGCGACGGACTTGAGAACCAGGCGCCGCTGCGCTTGTAAGCGTGGTGGATGCGACGAACGATAGAGGAGAACCCTGAGCATGACATAGTCACAAACATCAAATGACAGCGCAGAACCCCAGAACTCCAATCCCAATCCCCCAAACTCCAAACTACCCAAAACCCCAAAACCCCAAAACCCAAATGCAAAACTCCAATCAGCGCAAAACCCCAAACCCCCAAACCCCAAATGACAGCGCAAAACCCTCCAATCCCCAAAGCTCCAAGCCTGCCAAGACCTCGAGCGTGGCGAGGGCCACCCCCGCTGGGCCGGGCAGGCCCGAGTCGCGCCAGGGGCCCCCGAGGACGGCGGCCCCGCAGTGCACGCGAGGGCTCCCGAGGCCCTCCTCGCCTGCCCCGCGCTTCTCCACGCAGGCCGCGCCGACGGCCTGAGCGTCGTTAGCATGAAGTCGGGCCTGTCCATCTACAGGAGGAATACTCAGAGATGGTCCAAACATGGTCAGGGGATGATTTGTTGGTTACTATTTTCGATATCAGTTCGAGCACTTTTTGGGGTATTTTTTGTTTTCGCCCAGAATCCCTCTGTAGGGGGACAGGCCCGACCTAACGTTAGCAGTGCATGGTGAGTCTAGGCCTCCTCGACGGGGTCCGTGTAGATGGGGTCGGAGGATCGCGCCGCATCGCCGATGCATCGGCGATGCGGCTTGATGTGGAGCCCGTATTTCCCCACGCCGACGTCCCGACGTCGCCAGTGCATCGCCGATGCATCGCCGATGCATCGCCGATACATCGGCGATGCATTGGCGATGCGGCCCGATTCTTCGACCCCATCTATTCCGATCCCATCTAGGAGGCCTCTAGTAAGGGGAAGCACCAACGCAGCGTGCACCCGAACTTTGGCCCGTGAGCCGCCGCGCGCGGTATGCGTCGCAGCCACCATACTTTTATAGCCTTGATCCTGAGAGAAACGGTGTATGTGAGGTGCCACTCTGGCACGAGCCTGTTCATGTAAATCCTGCTAGGGGCCTTCAGGAGGGAAAGAAACACACAGACACAATTAATCGTCGACTCCCAGGAAAATATTGGAAAATATGGGAAGCGGGGGGGAGACGGAAGC